ATCTCCTGACCTCGTGATCCGCCCGTCTCGGCCTCCCAAAGTGCTGGGATTACAGGCTTGAGCCACCGCGCCCGGCTGCATCTTTGTTTCTTAATCATTCAAGGCTCCTTTTCCATCGAGGTGGTAAAATCCATGGTTTCTGAACAGGTAGAGCTAGGATTGGGATTCCATCTTAAGAAGCCTTGGAAGAGAGGTGGGTTTCCTTGGAAGGGGCAGTATTTGCATGTGGTAGGGCTAAGGGCCCCTGTGCAGGCTGGGCAGTCTGCACTAAGAGAGGAGGCTCCTTGGTAAACTGAGGGATGGGATGGCAGCAGGGGCCTAGCAATCATGGCACTGCAGGTGAAGAAACTGCACCCAACCAGACAGAACTCTTGTCCAACCTGAGGAACTAAGAGGACCAGAATTATATTTCCCAAGAATCAGGCAGTTGAAGGCTGGAAAGACATTAATCTGCTTTAGAAGAAAAAATGAAAAAAAAGAAAAAATAATTTTCTTGCATCTGTATGTCATGGACAAAAATTTTACAAACCAAAGGAGAGTGGATGCTACATCTTAGAAAGGCTTTAAACAATAGCTAGAATCTGCCTGTAATCTCAGCACTTTGGGAGGCCGAGGCAGGCAGATCACAAGGTCAGGAGATTGAGACCATCCTGGCTAATACTGTGAAACCCGTCTCTACTAAAAATACAAAAAAAATTAGCCAGGCATGGTGGTGGGTACCTGCAGTCCCAGCTACTTGGGAGGCTGAGGCAGGAGAATGGCGTGAACCTGGGAGGCAGAGCTTGCAGTGAGGAGAGATCAAGCCACTGCACTCCAGACTGGGCGACAGAGTGAGACTCTGTCTCAAAAAAAAAAAAAGAAAAAAAACGATAGCTAGAATCTGCCAGCTGAAACCTGGTACCTCTCAGTCAATGCAAAATGAAAATGTGCAACTTCTCTGAGCAGTCCTATTAATTAAAACAACTTTAGACCTAGGAAGAACCATGAGATTTGACATTTATATAACCTGAATCCAAGACACAGATTACGCTACTTGGGGCTGCTGCTAATGCTAGTAAATTTTTTGTGTAGAAAATCCTTACATTGATCTGCAGCCAAAACATGTCCCTTACATGTCTGTTTCTGAGTAATGGGTTTTTTTTTTTTTTTTTTTTTTTTGAGACGGAGTCTCGTTCTGTCGCCCAGGCTGGAGTGCAGTGGCCGGATCTCAGCTCACTGCAAGCTCCGCCTCCCGGATTTAGGCCATTCTCCTGCCTCAGCCTCCCGAGTAGCTGGGACTACAGGTGCCCGCCACCTCGCCCGGCTAGTTTTTTGTATTTTTTTAGTAGAGATGGGGTTTCACCGTGTTAGCCAGGATGGTCTCGATCTCCTGACCTCATGATCCGCCCGTCTCGGCCTCCCAAAGTGCTGGGATTATAGGCTTGAGCCACCGCGCTCGGCCTCTGAGGAATGAGTTTACCAGATTGATAGGATGTTCCAATCTCTGGGAGGAGAGCTGCCACTGAGGGCAATGACAAACATACAACAGGAAGTCTCTGGGTTGCTTCTCTTTCTGTACTTTCCACATCCCATCAGTCTCAAAAGGGAGGTGGCCCTGGATTGACAGTCTGGAGCTGCATCTGGGCCTGGCTTGGTAGGCTGTAGCAGGCAGCCCTTGCAAGTGCATATGCTGAGGAAGTTCAGTTTCCATAAAATAGCAGCCTCCAGGACCCTAGTCTCAGCCTGGGAAAGCAATTCATAGAAAATCCAGATGGCAGATCAAATAGGACCTGGCAAAAGCCTGGGAAGCAAGAAGGTGCAGTGGGTGGTACCTGTTTCAGGCACCCCTTCACGTCCTTCTGGGCCTTCTTCTACCCAGCTGTTGCTCTGGAGGCTGACCTGACTGCACTCAACACTACGCTCCCTTTGTTCTGGCCACCAGGGAGCCCTGGGAGGAGATGGAGGAAAAGAGAGAGGAAGTGTTTCTTCTCTTGGCTCCCTCCTAGGCCACTTCCCACCTGGCTATGTCTCTCTACCTAGGATTACTGCTCCTGTCAGGGTGACCCTTTCCATACCTTTATCTCCTTCTCGATTCTAGAAGCCATGCCTCCCCCTTGTCCCTTTTGCTCAGTGGTACTAACCACTTGGTTGCTACCAGCTTGTGGGACTGCCTTTTTCTGAGGCTGTCACAAGCAATCCTTTGTAAACATAACCTTCTGAGTTCTGCTGAGTATGCTTTTTACTATTATGACTCTGATTTTTAAATTTTATTTCATTTTTTCAGACCGAGTCTCACTCTGTCACCCAGGCTGGAGTGTGGTGGTGCCATCTTGGTTCATTGCAACTTCTGCCTCCTGGGTTCAAGCAATTCTCTCTACCTCAGCCTCCTGAGTAGCTGGGATTACAGGTGTGCACCACCATGCCCGGTTTAATTTTTTTTTTTTTTTGAGACGGAGTTTTGCTCTTGTTGCCCAGGCTGGAATGCAATGGCACTATCTAATCTTGGCTCACTGCAACCTCCACCTCCTGGGTTGAAGCCAGCCTCCTGCCTCAGCCTCCTGAGTAGCTGGGATTACAGGCATGTGCCACCAAGCCAGGCTAATTCTGTATTTTTAGTAGAGATGGGGTTTCTCCATATTGGTCAGGCTGGTCTTGAACTATCAACCTCAGGTGATCCACCTCAGTGCTGGGATTACAGGCGTGAGCTACTGTGCCTGGCCTATTTTTTTTTTTTTTTTTGTATTTTTAGTAAAGATGGAGTTTCACCATGTTGGCCAGACTGGTTTCGAGCTCTTGACCTCAAGTGATCCACCTGCCTTGGCCTCCCGAAGTGCTAGGATTACACGCATGAGCCACCTTGCCCAGCCATGACCCTGATTTATGATACACGGTGCCCCTTCCTTGTCTCCAGGCCTGTAAGTAGTAAAGGGCCTATGGCCCTGTATCCCTTTCCTGTTCTCCAGAAGCCTGTTATAGCCACTCCAGGCTACCTGTGCCATCACTCCTTTCCAGTATTCCCTGGCCAAATGTGTAGGCCAGTACCCAGCTGCCTCCTGTACTACTTCCCTGACCAGAGGAGGCCTCCTACTAATTTCCAAGGCCCTGGACTGTGAAGCTGGCTGTGGGATGGACCATGGGCTTTCTTAGCATTAAGGAATCTGAATGTGAAGATAGTTGTCAGCAAAACTCAAAGCTTACTTCCTGGGTTCTAGAGGCTGTCTGCCTGTAGCTACCCACCCCAGCTAGGCCCTTACCCTTTGGTCCATCTAGAAAGGGCAGTGAGCAAGACGGTTCAGTTTGGCACTCACTCTTTTCTACCCTGTCTGTAGGGGAAAGATCTGACATCTCAGAGAAGAAAGGTAAAGCTCGTCCCAGGGATAGGTGTCAATACAGCCATGGAAGGGATGGGATGATGCTCATGGGTTCTGGGAGAGGCAAGAACTGGTCCAGTCACCCCCACTGCCTTCAGGTCTGCCTTGTACCTGACATCGCTGCAGGAACACTGCTGGAGGCTGGGGCTTGGCTGCAAGGCGGTATTCTCTAGCACTTTCACTCTTGAATTGGCTTCTGTAGTGCCCATAGAAGCCATTGTTGTGCTATAACAAGACAGGAATGAGGATAACTCACTCAAATCTCGACCATGAGTCCTAGACCTCAGGTCCCCAACTGAGGGTTCCAGGAAAGTCAGACCAGAAGCCCCTTCTGGAAGTTCCTGACAGAATAGAAAGAATCTAAGGAGTTAGGACACTCCTGGAGATGGGCCAGTATAGAAGTGTCTTCATCCATCATTAGGACAGTTGAACTCAGCTGTAATGACCCACTTGGGCTATGCATGTGTAGGGAAGGAGTGCCATTCATTCAGAGGAGAGAGTTGTGGGCAGGGCCACTGATCAGGGGTGTGGTCCTTCCCTAAAGAGCCGGAGAAGAAATCCCCTTTGTTGTTCTCCCCACAGTTTTTTTTTTTTTTTTGAGACAGAGCCTTGCTTTGTTGCCCAGGCTGGAGTACAGTGGCACAACCTCAGCTCACGGCAACCTCTGACTCCCAGGTTCAAGGCATTCTCTTGCCTCAGCCTCCCAAGTATGTGGGACTACAGGCGCTCACTACCATGCCAGGCTGATTTTTTTTTTTTTTTTTTTGAGACGGAGTCTTGCTGTGTCACCAGGCTGGAGTGCAGTGGTGTGATCTCAGTTCACTGCAACCTCTGCCTCCCTGGTTCAATCAATTCTCCTGCTTCAGCCTCCCCGGTAGCTGGGATTACAGGTGCCCACCACCACACTCGGCTAATTTTTGTATTTTTAGTAGAGACAGAGTTTCACCATGTTGGCCAGGCTGGTCTCGAACTCCTGACCTCGTGATCTGCCCACCTTGGCCTCCCAAAGTGCTGGGATTACAGGCATGAGCCACCACGCCTGGCCTGGAGAGGATTTCAGAGAGAGGAACTGTCAGGAGACAGAAATAAGCAACTATCAGAGGTTCAAGAAAGGGGCTGTACTGTGCTGATGTCATTACGTGGACACTCTGTGGATGATCATGTCTGGGAACTCCTATGGCCCAGCCTCTTTGTCCTAAGTTCTCCCTGGAGAGGATGGGTGTGTCTGGCCCTCTACAATTATAACCCTGAGCAGAAGAACCCGTCCTAAGCCTGCCCTCTGGCCATGACAATGGGCTATTTAACAGGACTAGAAAGCCTCATATCTTTCCATCCAAAGACATGGATCACTTTGTCTGTCTATCCTTCTCTGTCAGAAACCCCTCACTCTCTATTCAGGTTAGTTCAACAGTATTTATCGAACCTTTATTGTCTTCCAGGCATGGGGCTGAGCATGGGAAATACAGATGGACAAAAACACAGTATTTGCCCTCAAAATGTTCCCAGACTAGAGAGCAGCCAAACTCCAAAAGTTTGAGTGGCTCAAACAATTAACTAGGAATAAATGGGGTGGCTAGAGGACTAGGAGTTTCCACTAGCTTGCAGGAGAGACCATGATGCATGGAAGGGGGCAAAGTGTTAGGAAGACTAGGCAGCCTCCAGGGGTGACCTCAAGATGGTGGAGAGGAAGTGGGAAGCTCAGGGTCCTATTCCAGGTTAGATGCCAGATGAAAACCTCTTCACTTCACTGTCATGACTCAGTCAGATTTTGGGTACAATCAGAGGGCCGGGGCCAGGATTAACATAAAGTGCACTCTTACCCAGGAGCCTACTAACGCACTTTGCATCTTTCCAAGAAGGGAGCAGAAAAGGCAAACTTCCCTCTTGTCTTTTTGGAGGATGTCTTCAGGAAAGAGAATCTCTGGAGGTCAATTCTTTTGTTGCTTAGTGACAAGGGAAGGTTGTGACTGCATAATGCTGCTGCTGTTTGTTGAGGTAGCACATGGCCTGTTGCCCCTTTGTCCTTGCTGCCCGAGTTCTTCTCTACGAGAAAAACCTGCCCCTTGGCATTAACAGCCTGAAAGAGCCCTTATGTATAGAAACACACAGGGCTCCATGGTAGAGTCTAATGAATTCGCAGCCAATGAAATATTCAAAGAACATTTTAAATGCGGGCAAATCCTGCATTTAAAAACCTATGCATTCATACTGCCAGGAATATAAATTTAGAAAGCATTCCATGGAGTCAGAAGAAATGTTAAAGAGTTTGGTGGCTTTTAGGATAAAATTACTGCTTCAGAATAGGCTTTGCCAATTTATCTCTTAGGAGTTTGTGGTGACTGGGAATGCTAATCATGACAGGTGAATGTTTCAAGGGCCGAGTAAAGGAATAGAGTATAACAGAAGAACAGAGAAGGAACTTGCAAAGATTTGACATTATGGTTCCATTCTGAGCTACCCTTGGACGAATTATTGACTGAATTCTCTCTTATTTGTAAAAGAGGGACTTAAACAGTTCACCCCCTTTAGTAACCATGGTGGCTCATGCCTGTAATCCCAGCACTTTGGGAGGCTGAGGTGGGCGAATTGCTTGAGCCCAGGAGTTAAAGATCAGCCTGGGCAACATGGTGAAATCCCATCTCTACAAAAAATACAAAAATTAGCCAGACGTGGTGATGCGCACCTGTGGTCTCAACTATTCAGGAGGCTGAGGTGGGAGGATTGCTTGACCCCAGGAGGGCGAGGCAGCAGTGAGCCATGACTGTGCTACTGCATTCCAGCCTGAGAGACAGAATGAGATCCTGTCTCAAATAAATAAATTAATAATACAAATATACAAAACAATGCTATGATTTATGGATACAAACATATGAACCGGCTGGGTGTGGTGGGTCACTCCTGTTATCCTAGCACTTGGGGAGGCCAAGGCGGGCAGGTTGCTTGAGTACAGAAGTTCAAGACCAGCCTGGTCGATATGAGACCCTGTCTCTATTTTTACATAAATAATTTTTAAAATATAATAATTAAAAATAAAAAGCATGGGCTGGCTGCAGTGGCTCACGCCGGTAATCCCAGAACTTTGGGAGGCCAAAGCAGGCAGATAACCTGAGGTCAGGAGTTCAAGACCAGTCTGGCCAAGATGGTGAAACCCCGTCTCTACTAAAGATACAAAAAAAATTAGCTGGGCATGGTGGCATGCGCCTGTAATCCCAGCACTTTTGGAAGCCAAGGCGGGTGAATCACAAGGTCAGGAGATCGAGACCATCCTGGCTAACATGGTGAAACCCCATCTCTACTAAAAATACAAAAATTAGCTAGACGTGGTGGCACACACCTGTAGTTCTAGCTATTTGGGAGGCTGAGGCAGGAGAATCGCTTGAACCCGGAAGGCAGAGGTTGCAGTGAGCCGAGATCATGCCATTCCACTCCAGCCTAAGCGACAGAGCAAGACTCCATCTCAAAAAAAAAAAAAAAAAGCATGCATAGGAATGATGGGAAACAAATATAGGATATAAATCGACTGGCGGCTGGGTGCAGTGGTTCACACCTGTAATCCCAGCACTTTGAGAGGCCGAGGCGGGCGGATAACAAGGTCAGGAGATCAAGACCATCCTGGCTAACACGGTGAAACCCCGTTTCTGCTAAAAATACAAAAAGAAATTAGCTGGGTGTGGTGGCGGGCACCTGTAGTCCCAGCTCCTCAGGAGGCTAAGGCAGGAGAATGGCAGGAAAAGAAAAGGAATCACCTGGGGAGGGGAGCAAGGGGAACGGTATCAGGGAGGACAGAATGGAGCTTGAACTCTGTCTGTAAAGCTTTTACTTTTTTTTTTTTTTTTCCTGAGTAGCTGGGATTACAGGTGTGCACCCCCATGCCCGGTTTAATTTTTTTTTTTTTTTGAGACGGAGTCTTGCTGTGTCACCAGGCTGGAGTGCAGTGGTGTGATCTCAGTTCACTGCAACCTCTGCCTCCCTGGTTCAATCAATTCTCCTGCTTCAGCCTCCCCGGTAGCTGGGATTACAGGTGCCCACCACCAC